CATGCGGGACAGTGTCGAAGGCTTTGCACAAGTCCAAGTAGATGACATCAGTTGCCCGTCCTCTATCCACCAAGGTCATGACCCCATCGTAGAAGGCCACCCAATTCATAGAGGTTTCCCAACCTCATCTGCCAGTTCCCCAAGGACCCGCGGAAGTCTTTCATCAGGTCCCACGGACCTGTGCACCTTTACCCCCGGCTGGTGCAAGCCTTGCCCACTTCCAGCCTTTCCAGCCAAGGAAGGGGCCGCGGAGGCGGCAGCTCACGCAACGCTTCCTGAGGCAGGTCTTACTGCCCCCAGAAGAGGGGATTAATGCTCAGTCATGCTCACAGGGCTGAGGGCGGGGATCCCCCGGGCTGGCAGGAGGCACCCTCTCATGTTGAGACAAATTCTCGCTGCAGAGCTGAGGGAGGGGAGGCAGCTCAGCAAACAGCTGGGATTGCAGGACAAGGACAGCGCCGGTAAAGGGTGTGAGCATTTCACAGCGCTCTGTAATGCTTCTAATAACCCACGGCACTTGAAAATGCATTTCAGCACTTACTGTCAGATTAATTTATTAGCAGAAAACACGTTTTGCTGTAAGGCAGACAATTAACAGAGAATTTCTCTAATTCCCAGTCAAGAGGCCAAATGATTACCGCTATTTAATGCCTGCAATTAAACTGACTGCTCTGAAATGAATGGAAGAGACCCGAAATGCATACAGGAATTTCATACAATATATAAAAGAGGTAACTTTTACATATCTTAATTTTAAATCCACTGCTCTTTTCATGTCAGAAACAAACATCTTAAGAGTTCATTTGCAAAATAAGCGCCGCCGGAGATGTCCCACCTTCCGCGGCTCCCCCTGGCAAGCAGACGAAACGCACGGCGGCGCCTACAGACTCCATGGGTTGAGAGAGAGAAGCCTCATTCCCACGGGTCCTGTTGGCCAGGACAGAGACCCTACTTTGTAATCCCAGTAAGAATTAAAGCAGTAGGGCGATACTGACACTCAAAGCCTATGTAAATCGGTGAGCCTCTGGAGGAAGCGACAGCAATACGGCAAGGCAGAAATAAAGCCAGGCTTCCAAGCCTTCAGCCTTATAAGCAATTCCAAGTTTTATGGAAAGCCTTGTACCAAAATCCTCTTTCTTAAGTCTTCATGAAGTACAGGCTACCAGCAGTGTTCACCGCACTGTTGCTTAACATGGGTGATGCTCGACTGGTACCTCCATGCACTTCCCCGGGTACCCAGGCCGCCCGTGACGTTTCAGGGACTTCTCCATCTCAGCTCTTCCTACACAGACACAGACTCTGACGCCAGCTGACTGAGCAGTGTAAAACCTGAAGGGGCCGTAAACCTGCCCCTGGTTTTTTCCCTGCTTCTGCCTCAAGTAGAAGAGCACTGCCGATGGATTATGGAAACCAGGTTTCAGTTGGATGGAGTGGGGCAGACCTTTTACTCTCAGCTGGGCAGCGTTCTGATCCGCAGAAAAGGCCAAGAGTAATTATTCTGACACCAGATGCTTACAAGAAGAGGGCGAGGGGGAAATATGCCAAAGGAAAATATTTATAATTTAAAACCAGATTATAATCTTGCTTATAAAACACCAACAACCTCATATGGAAGTTACAAACAATGAAAATATATAATCCTTGATGAGAGGCAAAAACTGCCTTTCGGAGGTTTGTACAGCATCCAGACCACTTACTTCATCCCCAGGCCCTGGGCTCTGAATCTGACAGGTGAGGCACAGAGCTCTCGCAGCTGGAGCTGCCCGTCCTAAATTTAGGGCCTGGCTTCCTCCACACTAGATTACAAGACCCGGCAAAGTCACAGTTCAGCTATTTCCTCATGAGCTACTGTGAAAAAAAAACAACCCAGTCTTTCGTGGTGTGATGCAAAAATGAATTTCACCATCCTTCCTTAGCTGACAAGCCGTCAGATTCTTCTCCTTCCATCACCACCTGGCCCTGGAAAACGAAGCGGCATGCAGCCCGCTTAGCGAGGCAGCAGCGGGGCAGGAGGGCCGGCCAGCTGCCCCATGGGAGTTCCGCTGCCAACACCGTGCACCGCACCCCACCGGCAGTGCCAGAGTAGCCTGCAATCTAGCTAGGCTCAGAGAAACAGCAGCTTCTCCAGCACCACCAAGCGTGAATTCCCATGGATATATCCATATGATATATGATATAAGCGTGATATATAGCCAACACCGTGCACCGCACCCCACCGGCAGTGCCAGAGTAGCCTGCAATCTAGCTAGGCTCAGAGAAACAGCAGCTTCTCCAGCACCACTGAGCGTGAATTCCCATGGATATATCCATGATATATCCGTATGATATATAAGCATGATATATATTCCCCGGTTAGAATAACATTATGCTAGGAGCCACGGGGAATCACAGACCCTTGCTGCAGCTCCAGGCATCAAGGACTGGACCTGAAGTTGCAGGACCAGTAGCCAAACTGGGTGAGAACAGACTCTATATAATTAATGCCACGTTAAGGATGCCTTGCACACTATCCAATCCCAGCTTTGTTATCTAGTTCCAACCTTTTCCAAAGCCTAAAAGAAACAAACAGAATTTAGAGTAGCATCTTAAGACATGATTCCACTTCCAGGACTTTAAGGAGGGCAGCAAAGACAAGAAGCATGAAAGAACTGGGAAAAGGATGTTTATATATCCTACCAGCAGCAGCAGAGAAAGGTTTATGGTGTTTGCACTTGAGAGCTCAGCAGAGGACTGAACAGAAGGTCTTGGAACACCTGTTAAAACAAACAACTAGAGATGGGAATAAGAAGAGTGACTTCTCAAAAGATGCTGGGTACAACTCTCTGTTCTGGTTACCCGTTACCTACCCAGCACCCCCCTCAAAACTAGCAACAACTTCAGACTTCAGTTTCACTGGCTGTTGTCATGTCACCCTTGCTCCACGTGTAGTCATCCAAGGGGATGGCATCTGAAAAGATTCAGGCTCTTCCACTGGTTCCATCCTAACCAGGAAACAACAGGACATCTGGCACTTCATTAGCTGCTGTAGTGATGATTAACAAAACCGAAACATTAGCAAACTTCCCGTAGCATATAGGCCCCAGCGAGATGCACACAGCCAAATTCCTTCAGGCCTGCATCCAGGAGCTGAGAAAAAGCAAAGCTAGTCTTTGCCTCCATTAACCCAGATGGGACGCGCCTGAGGGAGCGGACAGAGCAGCAGTGCGCTGACCACAACACAGAGCAGCTCCGCTCTGCTGCTGCGGTGGGTGGAAGAGGGTGCCTACGGGAGACAAGCTTGGTCTCCACATCACTGACCCAGCAACAGCTGCCATCCCAAGGGCTTGGTCTCCTTTACACAAGTGGGCTGAGAAGGAAAAGCCACTTTTCAGGAGTAGGAGTTACTCCTAGTGACTATCTACCATTTCCTGGGAGAATCCCTTGATGATTGTACTTGAAGGCCTAGGGCTTACTGCCACATTCTCCTAGCCCAGAACTTAGGAATCCATTCCCTCAATCCATACAACAAGGAAAAAAGATACTGTTTTATTGTTACCCTGATCTACCAGCAATAAACTTTTTAGTATTTTGGTTTTTTAAGATTTGTTAACAATGATGAGCCACCCGTTTTTTTTTTTTTTTTAATTTGTTAACAATGATGAGCCACCCAGTTACTTTCACAGAAAATATAAGCAGCATTTCTTCCCCGGAACTTCGAAATTAAAAAGACCTTCAGGTAATTCTGTAAAACATTTAGGACATCATAAATAAACATTCTAAAAATCCCATTCCAAACAATAAATAAAACCCTTCCTCAGTTGAAAGTGCAAACCGGCTGCATGATAAAAAGCACAGACAAGACTGCAGAAGTGCTTCGTTATTCAGTAGTGGCCAAGACACAGTTTCTTGTTTTGGTGCTGCTGGTCATCTAGTGATTTTGTTTTCTGGACCCCATCTAAAGAAAAAAAAAAAGATGTGTGAAACATTAATGTAATGTAAGCGTAGTCTAAATATTCAACACATACAGGCACTCTGGAGTAACACTGGGTAGGGGGCTGGGGTGGGGGAGCTTGTCATACAATCACAGAATGGTTTGGGTTGGAATGGACCTTAAAGACCATCTAGTTCCAACCCCCCTGCCATGGGCAGGGACATCTTCCACCTCCCTCGACCTGCGGGCCACACTTCTCCTGATGCAGGAGAAGTCTCCTTCCCCGCACAGAGAGACACGCAATAATCATAGTAAAAGAAACATACTAAGGAAAACCAGCAGTTTAAAACAGTTCAGCATTGAAAAAGCAAACATACCATCTCCGAGAAAACACTCAGAAAAATGAGCCCTGTTAGAGGTTGTCAGAGTACCCCAGGATGAATCTTTCTCCAGCTGGTCTAAAAACCATTAGCAGAGAGACAAACAAGCCCTAACATTGTGCAGTGATTACGAATGCCATAAACACTGCCCTGAGCTCTTCCCTCCCTCCTTTCCCCCGACTCGTAAGGAAACAGCTAACAAAGAGACTTCTCTGCTAACCTAGCTCACCCTGTGTTAGGAGTTAGCTTCTAGTACGTGGCTATACATGTCCTACAAAAACCACCTTCAGTCCTTTTTTACGCTCCTAGCACGGTACCCAACGCTCTGAGTAACTGCCAACTCCCTATCCTTACGCTCCGTATCTTCACGCTTGAGGCACAAAGAGGATGCAGCTCCTTTTTCCACATATAATTCCCGTTGGTTAAGAAACATTGTAAGGAGTGGTGGCTGACAATAAATGCCAACGGTGGGTCCCTTTTGCAGCACAAAAAGGCTTTGACATAAGACTCATCTACAGTCTTTCAGATGACAGCTCCCTTGCACAGGGGAGCAGGTCAACCAGGATTTTGTGCTCTTTATATTATATATGTGTATGGATGCACACAAAAACGTTGATTGAAAAGCAATGGCAGAGATTCTACATCATAAAAGAAGCACTGAAATGTTCTGCAGAACATATTTAAATGACTCGGAAGTTCACTTTCTCTTGGAAACGAATGGCACTTTTTATAGAACACAATATAAAAAGTCTATAAAACAAAATTTAAAACATGATAAAGCAGTATGACATGATCTAAGTGCAAAACAGGATATTGTCAACCTTAATAATCACAGAATCGTAGAATCATTTATGTTAGAAATGACCTTTATGATCATCAAGTCCTATGACATGATCTAAGTGCAAAACAGCATACTGTCAACCTTAATAATCATAGAATTGTAGAATCATTTATGTTAGAAAAAACCTTTATGATCATCAAGTCCAACATTAACCTAACACTGCCAAGTCCACCACTAACCATGTCCCTAAGCATCACATCTACCTGTTTCTTAAACACCTCCAGGGATGGTGACTCAACCATCTCCCTGGGCAGCCCGTTCCAATGCCTGACAGCCCTTTCAGTGAAGAAATTTTTCCCAGTATCCAACCTAAACCTCCCTGCCATTTCCTTTTATTGTTTCACTTGTCATTTGGGAGAAGAGACTAACCCCCACCTCTCTGCAGCCTCCTTTCAGGTGGCTGTAGAGAGCGATAAGGTCTTCCCTCAGCCTCCTCTTCTCCAGGCTGAACAACCCCAGTTCCCTGAGCTGCTCCTCACAGGACTTGTGCTCCAGAACCTTCTCCAGCTCCACTGCCCTTCTCCGGACACACTCCAGCACCTCAGTGTCTTTCTTGCAGTGAGGGGCCCGAAACTCAACATGAGATTACTAAATACAGGTCAGAATCACTAGATGAACACTTTCAGCGTTACTAGATTTGTAATGTGTGCGCCGATGCCAAACATTTGTTTAAAGAGGCTTGTTTTTGACTTACCGTTAGCTCATCTACTCAGAAAGCTCAGAGGACCTTTACCACTAAAAAATTTAACTAATCAAAATCAAGATTAATTAAGACTAATCAATCCCAGAGGGATTCAGGTTTGTTTAAAATGCGATCTCACTCACTGACTTGAGTCATAAAATGAATTAATGAAAGAATACTTACTTTCCCTGGCTGTGTGGTCATGGAATTCAAGGGCATTAGTGTGCAATGGATTTAGTTGCCACTGGTAAAAGAAGAAGAAAAATGTTTACTTACTCCAGAAAGCAGAAGAGCGAGCAAAGGAAGAAAGAAAAAGTACCCTACAGTCTTTCACTCTAAGGCATGACTAGGGGTGAGGTGGGAAACGAAAGGCTCCCCCTCCAACACGCACTTGCTTTGAGGATTAAAAGGATACGTGGCTATTTACTCCCTTGAGAAGGAGGAAGGTGTCATGGTGAGCACCCTGAGTGCAGGTGCACTCGGGCACCTTCAAAGCCCACCACGGCTCTCTCAGGAGCTGCTGGAAGAGCCTAGAGAGTCACACAGCGATCACCCACATCAGCTGCTGTGCCGTGACAGGGAGGCTTGGAGAGGACTTCCGAGCGTGAAGAGACCGCCTCAACCAACACCAAGGAAACTGCAGAAACCAGACGCGCTTGGCCCCGGCATCTGGCGTACGGCACAGCACTGCTCCCCAGTGTTGTGACAGAGCAAGCTCTCCGTTCTCTCAACGTCATGAGAAAACACTCCTCTTTGCTGGGAGCAGATGACTGCTCACTCCATCCTCCCCCCAGCGCAGCCCGGCGTTTTTAGCACACAGCACATTTAGACACTTACTGTAAATTTGCTTACACCCTCAAGTTCACCAAACTTCATATAGGATATGTCGGCTTTCTTTTTTCCAGCATCAACGTCTCCTGCATAGATCTGCTTGATACCAGCCCCTTTGATTAAAGGGACACATTCATCACATGGACATTTCGTCACAAATATCATGCTTCTCTCATCGGGCTTTATTTCTCGACACCTACAAGCGGTCAGAAAACAGAATTTCAGAGCTTATATGCTGGTAGTTTCGAATGGTGACAAACGGGACCTCACAAGAGCAAGGGAAGAAGTGTTATCTACTCTCAGAAGCAACTTACTCTAACCCAGTGTACAAGCACACAATGATATCTGGATTGGTTTTACTCTCTGTGAACAAAACATCCATCCCACCTCTCCAGAGGCCTCAACAATTCCCACACTTCCATATTTAAGGCTGTAGCACGGTCCTAGCAGGAAGCAGAGGCAGTGGCTTGTATCTGAAGGATAGGTGCCACGCACTGGAGTGAATAACAAGTTCACTTCGGATGTCTGAAGACACCCCAGGAGCTGATCGTGTCCATGCGCATCCAAGTTCTGCATCACAGGCATGAACAAGCCGGTGACTGCAATCCCGACTTCATCCCAGTGACATCATGCATTTGCCATGGAATTGTTTCTGAACCATCTTTCCTGTGGTAACATACCCACCCATTACCTGAATGTCAAGGCGTTCTGCTCAGCATGTATAATGTATCTGAACTTCCTGATTTCCCGATCTTTTTGTTTATCATCCATGTGTGGAAAATCGGCATACTCAGATCCAACGGGAAAGGCGTTGTAACCACAGCCTACAAAATACATTGCTCCTGTTCCATCACAGCTTCTCTGCAACAGTAAGCAAAGCATCAGATTCGGAGACGTTTAAACTGAGCACTGGGTCAAAGTGCGGCGCAGCGCGTACTTTCACACTGTCAGTCCGTGCCAAGTTACCGCAGCTGAAAGAGAACTCGCCTCTTCCTAACTGCTCCGTGTCTGCATGGTGCTTTGCCTCCATAGGGGCTGCACAGGCAAACTAACAACACACACAACACGCTGCAGCAGGCTTTAGAGGCTTCCCTCTTGGCAGCTAATACCGATCGCAGGAACAAATTGTCTGAAGGATTTAGTCCTTAAGCCTTTCTGCAGTGTACAGAATTAAAGACAGCTGGAGTCAGTCCCTGATGTGCCAGAGACTGTTTCACCTGTCTCTCAACAGGCCCTGTGACCTGACAAAGTAGCAATCGGTGATTGAAATCAGAACAAGAGACCAAACAGCAATAAGCAGTCGATGACTGAGTGCTAAAAAAAAATGAAGAGGATGTTGCAGCTACATGAAGAATGGGGCTTCCTGGGATTGGTATCATGCATCATCAGAGACACAGAACCACAGAGTGGTTTGGGTTGGAAGGGACCTTAAAGACCATCTAGTTCCAACCCCCCTGCCATGGGCAGGGACACCTTCCACTAGACCAGGTTGCTCAAAGCCTCATCCAGCCTGGCCTTGAACACTTCCAGGGATGGGGCATCCACAGCTTCTCTGGGCAACCTGTGCCAGTGCCTCACCACCCGCTCTGGGAAGAACTTCTTCCTGATATCTAACCTAAACCTCCCCACTTGCAATTTAAACCCATTACCCCGTGTCCTGTCACTACAGGCCCTTGTAAAAAGGCCCCCCCAGCTTCCTTGTAGCCCCTTCAGGTACTGGAAGGTGCTATAAGGTCTCCCTGGAGCCTTCTCTTCTCCAGGCTGAACAAGCCCAACTCTCTCAGCCTGTCCCCATAGCAGAGGGGCTCCAGCCCTCTGAGCATCTTCATGGCCTCCTCGGGACTCACTCCAACCAGTCAATATCCTTCTGATACTGGGGGTTCCACAGCTGGACGCAGCACTCCAGGAGGGGTCTCACCAGAGCAGAGTAGAGGGGCAGAATCCCCTCCCTCAACCTGCTGGCCACACTTCTCTGGATACAGCCCAGGATACGGTTGGCCTTCTGGGCTGCCAGCGCACACTGCCCGCTCATGTCCAGCTTTTCATCCATCCACATAAAGAAATAAAAACTTTATGTTTGGATGGGAAAAAGCACAGTAACAATATTTGTAGAAAAGTATCACTTTGCTTCAAAAAGGACCCCGCTGAAGCCAGTACAGCATTTCCACTGCAACAAAAACCCCCAAGAGACTGTCAGGCTACGGCTGCACTGAGATCTCTCCAAACAGGAGCTGCAAAGGGGGACTATGCAGAGTAGGCACATGCTGCCCGATCAGCACCTGCAGCAAAACTTGGTAACCAGGACACCTGGAATAACTGACAGTGACTAGGGAAGCGGGAATGCTGAAATGCCAGAGAGAGTTTGGCAGTTACTAAACTCATTTATACTTCCCCTTCATCCTGACAGTCATAACGAACCAGCCATTAACTTAGTTACTACAGAATGGTACGTGCAAGCCTTCTATAGCGCTGTGCGTATGAAAAACACATGTGTATAAACTTAAAATAACAGGCTCAGAGCAGACACAAGTGTATGAATTCTGACTGCAAGAAAAAGTAACTTTTTCAACACTTACCGATTTTTCTTCTGCCCAAATAATAGCTCCAACTCCTGTTTTATGATCCTCTAAAATACATAACATTTTAGCAGTCAATAACAACTGAAGCACTTCTAAGTTATCTATACATTAACATGACATCCCAGCATAAGGAATAACATTCACTGGTGCTTCGTGGACAGGAAATAAGAAATGCAGCAGAAAGATTAAGAGCTTAAAAGACATGAAAGTCTATGGCCATGAGAGTCTATTCACATCTCTGATGTGAGATGGCAAACTGATAAAAACCTTCTCGTTATTTACTTCTTAATTTAATTACTTCATTTCTACCATTCCTTAAATTTCGGGTTCTGAGCTTTGAATTCCTATCAAAATTAGTTGTATTTTACACCTAACCCAGAGACAAAATGGGTGTTTCCTGTCACCACCCCAGGAAAACTGGAATAGAACTTTCATTATATGACTTGGAAGATTTTTATGGAACTTGGAAATCTTCCCCAGTAGCTACTGATGAGAGTTTTGACCAGTTAAAACAGAGCATATCAAGGAGAAAAAAAAATGTTTCAGGCTTCCAATGATTAATATTGTAGATGACATTTTTCAATTAACCATTTTCATCATCCTACCACAATTACTCCAGGAGGGTCTTTCCTGACAAAGCTATGTTTGTTTTATGATGTATGACTGTGGTGCTGGGGAAGATTATGGAGCAGATCATCTGGACTGCCATCACATGGCATGTCCTGGACAAGGCTATCAGGCCCAGTCAGGATGGTTTTATGAAAGCCAGGTCCTGCTTGACTACACTGATCTCCTTCGACAACC